TTGTAAATCACTTTTAATTAATTTAAACGTATTTGTCATAAACTTCAAATGATTTATAATATTACTATTATTGTTGGCAAAAAAATGTTACTATTATTAATTACATTAAACTCGACCAATTTTTACTCTCTTCCATTCCACTACACATTAAAAATGGGCAAACATCAAAAAATATTTAGTGCTCCTTGAAAATAACAGTTGCCTTATGAAAAAGATCGAGAACATGTTCTAGTTGGTGCTTTATAATAAAGGAGAGATATATAGAGTATAATCTAATGTCAGAAATATATATACACAAGCATCACTACTCTGTTACTATTTATAAGTCACTTATATCTTAAGCTTACAAATTAAGAGATACATAGATAATTTTTTTCATATTTACCCTTATTAAAGAAATATTTTTAAAATATGTTTTATATTTTCTTTTATCTATTTACTTCATGTATCTGCATTTATTCAAGTTCATCATGATAAAACTAGACAAAGTGATTTATATTTAATAACAAATATTTTTCTTATAAGTAACTTATAAATAGGAACATAATAGTACATATAAAATAAAAATCATCTCAATATTTATTATAATTAACTAATTTATTTAAATTTTTTAATCTAAATAAATTAATTAAATAGCTATACAAGAAGATTAAAAAAATAAAAAGGTCTAAAGCACAAAAATTAAGATTGAGGTTGACACATAGATCCTTTGTATTTTTGGGAATTCGCGTAGGAAAAGAATAGGAAGTTAAACTATGTATAGATAATAAATAGTGTGATTTACTTTAGATTTAGTGGAAAGTACAAACCTACATTCGCTGGTCAAAAAAAAACAAAACCCTATATTCTAGTTCTTCTTAAAGTGGTTTATAGGTGATCTTTTCTGATAAATTTTTTTTTTATTGTTAATAGTTAAACTGAGAGACTTTAAAATCTTTAAGAAATTGAACTATTTAAATCAAAATTGGATGGTAGATAATCAAGCATAAGATACATACATAAGTGTCACTTTTTCTTTAATTTGATTATCAAAATTTTTGTAAGCACTATGTTACTTAAATTTCTCTCCTGGATAGGGACTAAATGATTAATATAATGGTGGCATCAATCCTTCAGTCAAATATCATGGAGGTGTCAATATATAGAGTATTCATTCAAATAATTATTGAGTTTTAATTAGTTGGGTTGGGTCTTAACTTTATTTTAAAAAAAAAGAAAGCAAAAAAGAAAAAGCATTAGAGTTAATGGAATCTAAAGCTGTAGTTATCTGGCTTTGTAGGCTAACTACAATGATCCTTTAAGGCTTCCAAAATCTTTTAGATCAACTTGAAGCTTTTTTTTTTTTTTGAAACATCATGCTCTTGTTAATTTTCTGCATAATGGTAAAGTTAAGAGTTTTAAATTTATGGAGTGTCTAATCTCATTAAGAACATTTGTGTTTCCTTTATCTTTTTCTTATTATATCATATCGTATATCACACCAAATGGAATGATGTCATTTGAAAGCCGCATTACATGACCATCAAGTGATGAATCCAGAGGGAAAATAGAAATTTTACCAATAGCCCAAATTATATCAAATTCAAATAAAATATTTCATTTTTTTTAATTATAAGAGTTGGTTAGAGACTTGTTACCTTATCCCGAAATTTATAATTCCTTTTTTTCAAATTATCCTTACAAATTGCGTGTATGTATAAAAGAAAATTCTTAAGATAACTTCAGTTACTACCTCTAGAACTTAATATAAAAACTAGTTGGTTAATTTTAATAAATTAAAAAAATTAGATTAGTTAGTTATTTATAATAAATATGTGTTATTTTTAAAAAAATACTTTTATTAATCATGTGTATTTGTTAGAACTACTATTGCATGAAACATTTAATATATGTAACTAATGAAAGGACTACATTGAAAAAAAAATGAATAAATGAGATACAAAATATATTAGAGTTTTATATTTAAGACCAAATTGAATGTCAAACACCCAAACTAACTGTTATATTAAGAATAAGATATAGTAAATAATTGCTAGGGTATTTTTTAAAAAAATTAACATATTTTTATTAATAATTAATTTAACTAATTTTTTTAACCTTTATAAACTGGTTATCAAATCATCTATAACTTGAGGGAGTAATATAATAGTGACTTGTGGTTTTGGGGCAGGTTCCATGGCTCAAATCAAAAGGTAAAAATGAGACATGAAAATAGAAACTTTTCTTATTAAAGAGAGAATCTAGTGAGAAAGAGAAAAGTACATCGGATAAAATGAGTCATCTTAAATTCATTTACGTCTCTGTTTTTATTTTATTCTATTTTAATCATATGGAGAAATATTTAGGAAGAGACAAACAACGTAAGTTCATGAGGTGAAATACCAAAATCTTATTAATTTGTCAATTTCTTGAAATCACTTTCATAATGTTAGAAGCAAAGGGAGCATAGAGAAACATTTTAGATAGACAAAATATGTCTTGTGGCAGTGGTTGGAGAGAGATAGTCATATTACTAAAATTGTTGCCTTGAGAAATATTTATTCATAAAATATTATAATTAAGAGAAAAAGACTAAAAATCACAAACCCGTTGTTGTTTGTTTCTTATAGATTTTCTATCATCTTTTTTTTTTTTTCCTTCTTTTCTTTTTAACTGTGTTGCCACACCATGTAAAGCTCTTGGATTTTATGATCATACATTTTAAATCCTATTTTCTTCCCTTTTCTCGGTAAAAAAATGGGAAGTGAGGTTTGAGGATTGATGGTTCATTAATCACTATCAATTGTTAAATGGATTTTCCTTCAATTAAAGAAAATATATCAGGCTGATTTTTTTTTGGGGGTTTTAAACTTTATGTACTTTTGAATTTTCTAGTCAATTTTGTCGACTTGTCAAATAGACTAGAAATGAAAGTGGTTTTGTTCGGCAATATTAAGAGGGACTGAAATTAATATATTATTTTATTGCTAATGGTGTTGGAACAGTAGGAGGTGATGCTATTTCATGTACATATATTTCTTTTATTGACATTTCCTATAATTGTCCAATTTCATTTAAAAGGTCCCAAATTTATATCTTTTTTGCTATAAAAAATTAGCTTTTTTAGTGAAAAAATTGGCTATTTTTATCTTAAACAAGTGGGACATAAATAAATAATTTTTCAACCATAAATTAAAAAAAAAAGTAAGATGAACTGTCCAAATCCAAATCCTGGATCGATCAAAGAGTTAAAATGCAATCAATCTACAATTATTCAGTAAGATCCTATGTTAACGCTTATAAAATAGTAGAGATTAAAATAATGCATAGGGTTTTTTCTAATTTGAAAAAACAATAACAAAAAAAAAATTGTGGCAGAAGCAGAGGCATAAATACTCCAATTTTGAGTGTCACATCTTAAGATATTACGGATGCTTTCATTGATGAATTGAATTTATGCTTTGGATCCATCTATTTGGGCATTAACATTCAATCCAAATTTACACAACTTTTAATCCGTTTGAATATTTTTCACCTAAAATCTTGTCTTAAATTATTGTCTTGATGTACCAAAATAAGATATGGACATATATATGAGAGATGGATTGCATGAAACACAAAGGAAATTTGGCGTCTTCCTTCCTTCCCCCCCTTTTTTCTTTTATCATCGTTGCGTCAAAATTTTAATATAATTTTATAAAATATTAAATCTGAATCATTGAGACTAAAGCAAATATGAAGTTGAAATAATGCTCTTCATATCAATTTTTCAGAAGATTGAAATTCAATTTAGTCCATAGATTTTCAAATAAATCCTTCGAGGAAGATTCCTACCGCGCTTATTTGAACTTTTCTTTTTTGCCATGATGTTTTTGAACTGTTATTTGTTCCTGCACTGCGTCATCTAACTTAATCTATGGGGGAAAAAAGATATTTCCCACAAGTGACAAAAAAAAAAAAAAAGAATCATCTAGAGAGTGTTTGGATGAAACCAAATTATGGTTTGGAAAATAGCTTCTAGAGAATAGATTCTTGGGAGAATAAGATTTGTGAAAAAGTAATTATGATAAAGTGAAAATGTTTGGATAGTTGTTATCAGGAACACTTTTTACATGTGCAAATTATAAAAAAAGATATAAGTTAATATGATAATTACATAAAAGATAGATTTTATAATATATTTTAATTTGAAGGAATAAAATTGTTATAATATATTTTTTACCAACATAATTAATAATATATAAGATAATATAATTAATAATTAATTAATATGTGTATATATATTTATAAAATATAAGATTAAATATGTTTATAAAAAATAATTGAGGGGTGTTAAAGTCATATTATTGTTGAAATCTATTCTGATAGGCATAATCATACTTTCTAATTTGAGTCAGAAGCAAATAGATTCATTTTTTTAAAAACCATGATTTTGAGCCCAAAACCGCGATTTGTTAATTTTCCTTCTTGTTTGGCAAACTTGGAACCCAAAAACCATGATTTCATCATATTGCCAAACAGGCCCCTAGTTCAACATCAAGGTATTTCAATGATAATGCCACATGCCAGACTTAGATGAGATCTAGGTTCAAGCCTGATATTGACATATTTGTTTGACAGCATTGAAGTAAAAACACACAAAATACACTAAACTCGTACAATATTTCTTGATTTGGGTTCAATGCAACCTATATATTTTCAATTCAATCCTTGTGAGAGAAGAAGAGAAAACTACTGTTCATATTGAATGAAAAAAGACTAAGGAACTCGAAATAAAACTAAAGGAGAAGGAAGAAGGAGTGAAAGATGATGTTTATTTGTTGGCATGCCGTGTCATCTAACCTAGTCTCCAAAACAATAACATTTCACTTAGTGCAATAGATGGCATGTTCACATATGACATATCAAAATGGACAATTAGACATTTTTCATTTTTCACTTTTACAGAATATAATGTAAGCATGAGAGATGAGTTTTATCTCAGCTTATATAAACGTGTTTATAAGCACTTAATATATAAAGCTCCAAACAAGTCCTTGAGGCCACTCAGAAGAGACACTATATTCCTTTCAATGTGTTCATACGTAACAATCTGCACGTTACATTGCTATCACAGAAATGTGTAAAGCAGAATTCTTCATTGCTACAAACCAAGAAGTGTATGGAGCAAATATATAATTAATCAGAATATAGTATATTTTTCCTGTGCCTGTGCACGTAGCACCTTTTGCAGCCAAATTTCCCTTCCATAGGTGCCTTTGGTCGTCAGGTGAAGAAAGTATATGTGTAGTAATAGAAGCCATGGAGTATTTGTATAGGACTCGTAAAAAATTCTCTTCTACTGGTAAAATGGTGCTTGGGTGGACGAGCTGCACAAGGCCTCAATTGAGAACTTCTTTGCAAGTCCTGGACATGGATCTCCTCCAAACACTTCAGGAGCTACAGTTACAAAGCAAGATTGCTTGCCAATGCAGTTCTGCACAAATAAAGGCAAAATATAATCTCAGAAACATTCCTTCCTCACAATTTAGATACAGTAATTTAAGTAATCAAGTGTTGCTGGCCAAGGAGGGAAAAAAAAAGAACGTCTTAGATTCTTATGATATGAGCCAGAGTTATTCCTAATGGGGTCAGTGCTATACTTTCGAGTTGGAAAAATTGTCAAACACCTGCATGGCAAAATTTTAGAGAACTGGAGTAAAGTTTGTCAAAATTTTAGAGACTCGTCATTGTTTGGGAGACTCCCAACTTCCATGTACTAAGGTCCATAACTATAGCAAATGGATATCTAAAAAACCTCCCAAATGAGTCAACATCTCGACGTTTTCAGTGTCATGACACAGATCCTGAAGCTCTGCAACACCTAAATATCAAAAAACTGAACTATCTAACGCAGCAAATCCTATGTTCTACTGGGAACCACAGCCCACACAACACAACACAACACCATAACAATCCTTTTTATGCTACTCAAAACTTGACAATCTGGCCACTTTCCTTTTCTTTGTTAGGACTTCTATGCACTCTTTCCTGTTTTGCCTATTTGATATCTATTTGTTTCAGATGACACCAAATATGGTATTCTTAACTTCGAAACTCTGGTTTCCCGGGAAATTGAAGAAATCTCCATAACAACCTCAACCTTCAAGAGTTCTACAATGGTTTGATAGGACTTAATGTTGGAATGGAGCTATTCATTAAGATGAAGGAAACAAATAGGATATAAAAGAGGAAATGTTGGATTACCCTCTTAGCAGCATCATATGACCTGTTGGCATGACAGCTCCCCTCTAGAAAGTTTCCACACACCCCCTGTGGTTGTCCATAGCTAGCAAATTTAATCTGAGAGATTTTTTGCCCCGGTGAACACCGTAAATGAGCTTTAGGCCTATAAATTTTTCCAGATTTAAACATGTGCCAACTTTTAAGTGTTGCCTGCCCTTCAGATATATCAGCACAAACAGTTCTTGTGGTTCTTTTCACCAAAGAAATCCCAGTAGGGTCACCTCCCCATTCTTCAAACACAACCAAAAAGTTCCCACTTGGGTTCAGCCATGACCGAGGAGCATGATACCTAAAAAATGATGATAATATGTTGTTATCATTCCCAAGAACTACTTCAACCGAAAAAGTTTACATTTTTAAGTCATAAGCTCCAATATGTTCGTTTAAACAAAAGCTTCTGTTGACCATTTGGTCACAGAAGTTCTGAGACAATTCTCAAGAATCACTTGAAGTGAACGACCTTGAATAGCTTTGTTTATGTAATCTCAGATTTTGTTGAAAGCTAGATCACATACTGTTTCGAAATCAGTTGTGAGCAGACTTACCATCTTTGGGAGGGTTCCCCACAATTTGTCTGACATTTATATTCAGTGTAGTTTCCAGCATAACTACAATCATTACAACGACCACTTGCAATGTATCCAGGCCAATGGCGCCCAATGCTCTGACCATTTACCCAGACTTGACCCTTTCCCATGCTACTCATATCAAAGGCCAACGGATCATCGCCTGCCGGTGTACTAAAAGTTGTCTGATAACAACAAAGAATAAATCAACTCGGGATCACCAGTGACAGAAAAGGACACGAAGCATTTTGTAGCATAAATTTTTACCTTGTACCATGTCAAGGGTTGCCTCTTAGCCAGCAAGGATCCCTTTGCCCATTCAACAGAATTACTCCCACTTACAGTATGAAGGCTTAAGGCTTCACCTTTCAGCCCCACCTGCTCAACAACATTCAACAATATAAATTCTCTGCAGTTGAAACTTCCACTAACTAGCTAAAATTACAAATATGACAATGATGATCATGAAAAAACATTCTCTTTACCTTATTTTTGAAAGTTTGCATCAAAAGCAAGTGAACTATTGATGCTTAAACTTTTTATTGTTACCAATGCACGCACATCTCACCAAATACACTTTTCATCATCAGTTAGATGACAAATTTTTGCTGTTGTTATTGAAGAAAAAGATATAGATGACAGACCTTGTAAGACCATTTCTGTTGAGATAAATCTCTGGTCCCCTCATTTAGACCCTTTAGTGTGGCTGGGCCTAACACCCCAGCATTCCACGTCTCAAAGTGCAAGCCTACATTCTGGATTTATTTCATTATAAAATTAGAATCAGTCTTAAAAACTGAAAAAGAAGACACAGATTAGAAAAGTGAGAGAACCAACCGGGAGACCCACAGCAACGCTAAGTAAAGAGAGTTTGTTGTTGCCAACGTTCAGCTTAACATTGTCACTAAATGTTAATTTAGGATTCTTTAAACTCCCATACACAGTTCCTACATTGATGAGAAGATGGTTAATTGATAATGTTAACCAAAGCAAAACACTGATTAAAAACCAATATATGCCAATTAGTTACCTGAAAGTTGGCCATTTATGAAAACATGTAGAGCATGGCCTGCTGACATTACGGTGAGGAAGGGAGATTCCCCACTCTTTATGAAAGCTTCATCAGGATCAATATTGACACTGACAAAGATATCCTCAATATTGATTAGATGGAGAGAGGAGTTAAGTAGTAAGAGGATGAGTGTTCTAATTATTTGCACTTGGGGAGGCGAAGACTCATCAATTAAGAGATACTTACTCTGTCGTGTACCACAAATAATCTGAAGAATCCCAGGTGACATTAAGCTGCTCCCAGAGTGCATATTCAGTAAAGGAATCGTCTTCACTGGAAGACGCGGGTTCTTCATTGTATGACTGCCAAGTGAATTGACCATCCACCGGTGTCATCTCCATCACAGTGCTCTGGGCACCAACCTTCACAAAATTGGCAACAGACATAAACGGTCACCCAAGAAAATGTCCCAGTAGAGCGAAGGCAAAGGTTTTCGGCTCAAATATGTACATATCTTTATAATGTGTGTGTCCTTCAGGAACAACTCAACTAAGAAGTGTTTCTATCAGCTATATGAAAGTGATCTACTCATTTCCGGATGCATGATTTTGGCCGTGCATTTCATAATGAAACAAAATTAGAAAAGTAATAAGTTCCGTGCATGACAATGTCGTACGCTTGCGGTGTTGAAAACTGCAGTTTTGCAGTCAGGGAGAATGCTGATAGACCAAGGTGGTAGGTCATATTGGCCACTTCCAAATGTAGCTTTTGCAGCAGATTTGGTGTCATAATTTGCAAGAAATGCAGCACAAGTACCAGAATCTGTCTTGAACACATGAGCCTGGAATAATATTAAAGAAATAGCAAATTAATTACAAATATGAGTCAGCTTTGTTTATTTTAATCAGCAGAAATATTTCACCTCCAGGTTCATCCCAAGCTGCGTCACCGTAGGATCTGCAGACACTAAAGCTGGCTCGCATAGCTTTATTGCTTTATGCAAATCTCTCAAATGCCCCCATTTGGGTTCATTCAGAAGTCCTGAAATAATTGACCAAATCTTCTCATTAACGTGGATATATATATATATATATATATGCTTTGCCCGCATGATGTTAAACTTGAATACATGCACTTTGCTGATCTATATTTCCCCAGTTACTCTAAAAGAGTATAATTATCAAAATCAGAAGCATGAATACAATTTGAACAATATATGAATATGGATACCATATTCATCAACAGGAGCATCATAGTCGTAGCTTGTGGTGATGAAGAGGCCACTAGATGTTCGACCAAAGTTTGTTCCTCCATGATACTGAACCCAAAAAAAAAAAAAAAAAGCAGAGATATTATATTTAGAGTTTCTACAACTTAAAGACATGAATTATAATATTATACTAGAGGATTGAATATTCACAGTAGATATTGATAGCAGGGGGACAATCAACCCACCATGTAGTAATTGACAAATGAACCACCATTCTGTATGAATCTTGCAACTGACAATGCCAGGTCTTCAGCTGGTCTCAGTGGTGTTGCGCCACCAAACTCAGTATACCTAAACAGTAGATTCAGATTAAAAATAGGATTATGATAAATAGTTTTTCATCTATAAATCATCATTTGCATGAGTTACCAGCCAGTCCAGTTCTCTGTCCACATTTTGGGCTTGTACTTCGTGTTGGATTTGAAGCTATCACAGTAGTACCCATTACAGGTGTCAATCTATCACACAGTGATCAGAAAGAGAAACATATCAGAAAGGAGTAGAATCTTCCTTCAACAATACATATAAGTGACAAATTTCGAAACTAAACAATTAAGTTATAAAAAGGAAGAAGGTTAGGGGACAAAGCTACGCACAACTTTTGAGAGCTTCCTTATTGTTTCTCTAATAAAACACAGTAGAATCGTATATTTTTCAGTTCAGCACTGCATAATTGGACCTTCAGATAGGGTAAACTTCTACTTAAGGACCCATAAGGAATAATAATTACCCTAAAGAAACTTAATTAAAATTCTCTTGAAACACTAAAAATACTATTTAAGCCACCACCGGTATATTTAAAAATTATCACTCACGCTCCCTAATGAATCAGACAAATCAAGTTGACATTAGGAAAAACCAATGGTAACTTTGATCCTTCGGAAGAATTTTGACTTTTGAGGTCATTTAGAGTAATTATTATATATATCTTCTAGAAGAATTTTCCCTTTGGAAAAAAATTTCCCCGAAATGTCACGTTTATTACTACGTTAAAGAGCCAAAATATAGTCTCAAATTAGACCCCATAGACAAAGTTGAACTGAAAATATAGGCTCCCATGGCTGCAATTACACAACAACCAAGAACCAGATTAAAGAAGACAAGCTAAAACTGCTTAGCTATTTGCGAGGAATTCTTACATGCACTGGGAGTGCCACGTAACTTGCGCTGTGACTAATAGAAATCCTCCAAATCACATGGTGGGACCCATGTTTGTTGCAGTCTTTTATACATCTCTTTGCTTCTACACCCGCCCTCTTTCTTCCAGCCGTCGGCTTTCCCCCTCTCTTTTTGTCTATTGATTTAATTTTCCCTCTCTTTCTAATAAAACTTCTTCCCCCCACTTTAAATTTTGTCTCTTTATTTTATTTTCGTATGCCCTCACACATTCTCCCCCCGTCCCTCTCTCTATCTCTTCTTTTTTAAATTTTATTTAATCTCTCATGTAAATAATAGTGTTGCTTTCCCAAATCAAAAATTCTAAAATAATTATATAAAAATTTAAAATTTAAAATATTTTGGTTACATAATTCATACTACTTCTGGTGTTTAATATAAAAGCTCGTTTGACTTTTATTACAAATAGTTAACTTAACTAGTTTTTTTAATCTATTTAAATTGGTTAACTAGCTCTTATATTAAGGATTGGAGTAGTATTTTACAACTCAACCTTTAACTTCTTTCTCAACTTTTTAAAATTCCCTTCTTTTTCATGGTTTATTTTATGTTGACATGTGAAAACTATTTGACTAAAAAAGACATGTGAAAATTAGAAGCAGACTTTGATAAAAGGAATCAAACTAAATAAAATATCCAGTTAGGCCTTTTTTAACTTCAATGACAAACATTTGCTTATAATAACTTGTGTTTATAAAAGTAGTTTTGTTTTTCTTCATTTTTTTCGTGAGATTGTTGGTGCATTAATGTATTAATCAAACAAAATAATCCTTCTTGTACCAAAAAAGTGAATTGTCAAACCTGTTTTGCTGCTTTATTGATATTTACGGATGATAGCTTTTGTTTATATAAGTATTTTCTTTTTTCTTTTTTTTTTGATTAAATTACTGAAACAATTATATTTTGATAAAAGGTAAACGAACCATTTCAATGTTTTTAGTAATGCTACTTTATAACTCCATTTAAAGCTTAAAATGACGTGCTATTACTTAAATTATAGAGTAAATAAAATTAAAAATAAAGAAAGAAGGTGAGTGTATGCAAAAATAAGATATAGAGATAAAACTTAAGTGGGTAGAAAAAGTTTTACCAGGAAGAGAGAGAAAATTAAATTAAAAAAGAAAGAGGGAAAGTTGAGAGACAAGGGAGAAAAAGCGCGCGTGCAGAAGGAAAAAAGATCCATAAAAGACTGCAACAAGCATGGGTCCCACTGTGTGATTTGGAGGATTTCTATTAGTCAGAGCACAAGTTACGTGGCACTCCCAGTACATACTTAAAAGCAAATAAAGATAGTGGAAAAAAGCAAAAGGGTGAACAGGAAAATATCAAATAGTAAAAGCAACTAGTCCACCTAACTAAGCAACGCGCTTTTGATATGAAAAGCCCACCAGGATCTATGGATCAAATACATTTAATATGGGGGGAAAAAAAACAATCATTTCGTGGAAAATGACAGTCCCAAGAGCAGAGAAAAATGTTTCTTTAAGGAAACAAAATAGCTTAAACTTACCACTGGATCAGGAGCATCCGGTTGCTTACACATAACCCAGGGCACCTCAGTGTCAAGACCTACTGCCATTTTAGCTGCCCATTGCGTGTAAGCTTTTCCAGCAGCACCAAGTCTCCCCTCAATAGGTCCAAACTCGTTTTCTATCTGTCAAATTCAAGTGACAGAGTTTATCTTCAATAAGTCAAGAACTTTTCTCCACTAAGCTTTGAGTTAAAGGTACGTAGTGTAGTACTATCCAAAGAATTCAAATTTGAATTCCGAGTCAAGACAAATCAACAATGAATTTTTCCAACGTAAATATATTTTAAATCTTATTACTATACCTGGGACAGAATTATTGGACCCCCCTGAGCTTGAAACAACTTCTCTTCCTTCATCATGCTGACAATCTTCTCAGTAAACTTTTGCATTGCGGCCTTCATGGCATCAAAATCACACGGATGTATCATTTTTTTCTCGATTAAAGAATATAACATGAGATTCATCACTATATAATATAATGATGATCCAAGTTGAAAACAATCTTACCTTGAAAGGCTCATTGTCAGTTCTGAAGGTAATACCCGGAACAAACTTCAGCCAAACAGGAAATCCCCTGAAATTCAAACAGAGCATGTGATCTTTTCAAGTTTTCTCCAAGGATTATTTATAACTTCTGTTAGCAATTTTCCATTCTATAGTTACGTAACTAAAATCATGAAGAGAAGCTATGAAATATCAAAATCATTACCCAAAGTTCCATTCTGCACAGACGTAGGGACCAATGCGGAGATGAACGTAAAGGCCAGTTTGCTGAACCAGCTTGATGAACTTCACTAAGTCGAACCTATCCTCGAAATAATACTGGAAATTCACAATTTCATAAAAAAATTCCGTGAGCTTCCTTTTCAGCTTCATATCTGGTTCTTGGAAAAGAAATAAACAACGAACTATGAAGAGATAAATTTTTAAGGAAGCATTTGCAGTGTCATTACTTTTCCAGGCGAAGGTTCATGACCATTCCAAAACACATAGGTCTGTATAACATCTAAGCCTCCATCTTTGGCCTTTCGTATGAGTTCAGGCCACATCTGCATTCACACCGGAACAATGAAAAGATGCGAGAAAAAGTGTGAGAAAACTAGAAGCTAAGCAAAAAGTTAGGACTAAGAAGCCACCTCAGGTGTGCTTCTTGGGTAGTGAATGGACCCAGAGATCAGAATCCTTCTCTTTCCATCAATAATAACAGCTTTGCGATCGTAAGTCAAAGAAGCTGTAACAGCAAGAGCCCAGTAGCAAAAACACAGAAGCAAAACAAATTTTCCTCTGGTTAAATTCCCCATCAAACCTCTGGGACTCATAACCTTCTGGGTTTCTCAAAGGAACGACCTTTCTTGCTTCGTTTCACTCCCCTTTGAACACTCAAAGAGACAAAAGAGTTAAAATTTTGTTTTTGGCACAAAGGAGGTCACTAGAGAGCTTAAGAGAGGCGGGTGATCAGTGAGAGGGCTGCAACTGCATTAATATTGGCGGATTATATACACGCACATTTGAAGAACGCAAGTTGGCCAGGCCACTTTCCTTTTGTTTCTTGTATGGGGACATGAATTGACGCGTAGTTCACTTGCTGTTGTAAATTAAGCAATCTCTATATTGCGTTTCATTAATCTGATTTTGTGTGTCTTCTTTAAAGATTTCATGTATGTAGATATAATACTTATGATTTTTGCCAGTACATATCAATGAAAAGAAAGTCAAAAAACCTCAGTTGAAGTCAGTAACATTATTATTGGAGAATTCGCTTCTCTTTCAAATATAAGAAATCTTTGCTTAACGTATATTATTTAGAAAATTATTTAAATAGTGAAGATTTAAACTTTTTATTAATTGAATAATTGATGTAATGAATATGTAGAGAAGTATAATTGAGTATGCTTTCAATTTCAAGACAACGATGGAGTTTGGGTACTTTACAAAGCCTCCATTGTTGGGTAACTTTCACACCGTTTCCCCAATGCAAAATTACTCTTCTTTTAATGTAATGCTCCACCTAGCCGAAAAGAGGGGAGGCAAAAAAAAAAAAAAAAAGAAGTGTGTGTACACACTCACATGCACATATGTAAGGAAATAATAAATAAGTAAATAAATAAAATATGTGCATTTCAAAATAAAGCAAGTAACAATACATTTATGTTGGATGAAGAGCATTAGTTCGACTTTTAGCTGCAAGCAAGTAATTAAGGATTCAATTATATCAAGATTTATGTATGTAATAAGCATAATAAGAATGTGTTTATCATTTGCCTTGCATTCTTGTCATTTATACTAGTTTTTTTTAAAAATAATAATAATTTTCAACATACATTTCTAAAATTCAAAATCATAATTATTTTGCTTTTCTTTTAGGCCTTGTTTAATTTCATAAAGAGAAAAATACTATATTTTTCTTGCAAAAGAGAGATTAGTAAAGATAAATATTTTTCTAATCATAAATTTATTTTGTTAAAAATAAATTAATGGATATTGGAATAGGAACACAACAATGTTAGTTGGTTTGAAACTGCTAGATTTCAACTACAGTTAAAAAAATATGAAGTAGAATTAAGTTAGAATTGATTGTAATTAAATTAATATATTTTTAGTCCATGATTAATCATAATGATAGAATTAAGTTAAATAAAACTCATCAATGTATTTTTATTAAATTAATATAATTTGTAACTTTATATTATGTAGATAAAAAATAACAACAAATATAAAACATAAATTTCAAACAAAAAAAAACTGAGTAAGAAATAGAAAATAAAAAAGAGAAGAAAAGCATGTGCATAAGTAAAAGAATTTAGTCAATTTAGGATAATTTGGAAAACAAAAGAATTACTACAAGGTATAGTAAGGAAGGAATTTAATCACTTAGAAATCAACAACAATGGAAGAACATATAATGATGAGTTCTATTACGGGAGATGACAAGGAATTTTCACTATTCATTTGTTAATGAGTTTTGTCCAGAGCCTGTTTGGATAAGTGGTAGTATTTTAAATAAGCTCGTTTAAATCCAAATAAGTGATTATGAAGCATGCTTGTCTTGTTTGGGTAATTTTTGCAAAATCCTGATAAATCATAATTTTACTCTTATACCGTACTTTTAAAATAAGCAACAAGGAGTAGCTTGTGTGTTTGAAAAATTTCGATCAATTTTCAGCAACTAAATTTTCTCCGATCTACCCTCCCACACTCTTCCAAAAATCTCTCCTCAAATATTAACTTTATGTCCTTTTTAGTAATTATATATTCATAAGTGATTTTAATAAATGAAAACCAAACATAATTACAATTCTTAAAATCACTTATAAAAAAAAATCCAAACAGAAATCACAATTAACTAGTATTACTTATAGCCAGTGTTACTTATAAAATTCACAATTATCTAAAATCACAGTTGTTCATCGCTAATTCAAATAGGTACTTATACTTAAATCTCTTCTTTATCACCTCAAAGTAATTCTCCCTTTAAAAGTTAGAGACCAATCATGTCGGTTGCAATTACTTGTAGCAGGTTGTGCTTAACTACTGGAGATCTAATTAAGAAGCTTAGCGGGTGGAAGGTAAAATCATGCATAATATTGACATTGAAGGGTTAGGGTTTTGCAGAGAATGGCAGAAAGAAAGAGGAAAGAGAGAGATTGGAATTTGAAAGAGCCTTTGTATGCTTAAGTATCTGTTAATCTCAATCAGGTGGCTATTCACGTCGTCGTTTGGTTCTCCCACCACAGTACACTCTCCATTGATGTATTTGAGATCATCTTCGTGGTCGTACGTCTTCTTCTTCTTCTTCATCCATTTTTGCTTCTCTTTTTCTCATATTTTCATTCCTTCTTTCTTCTCCGATCCTTTAGGTTTCTTCTGAGTTCCTCAGTCGTTTTTCTCCTCTCCAATAATCATTATCATCGTACGTGTTTCCCCATTTTCCGTCTTTGTAAGCTTCACTACACAGAAAGGATATGAGATGTTATACAAATATTAAGAGTAGCATCTATCTACATATATATATATATATATATATATATATATAGAGGAGCTAATTTCAAGATTTCTTTCCCATGTCCTTTCTGTGTAGTGGTATTTTCATTTCTAATGTGCTTAGTTTTAGAGGCTTGAAGGAACGTATCAAGACAGGATTTGTTTATTTCATATGCCGTCATATATACAAAGGATTCCTCTTAACCAAACATATATGACGAGACATACTTTGCTGGGAATTTGATACCATAAAGTGGCTCTATTCATTGGTTCTTTCAAGCTTTTTCAATCTAATGAGGTGGGATTGCAATAAACAATGTCCACATGAAAATATAAGCATCAAATTCTTGAAGGGATTTGATTTTTCTTGTTTATATCCGAGCATCAATTTAGATTTGTGTGATTGTTTAATACACTTTTTTATTTTTATTTTTAATTAATTATATGTTTTTTTTTTGCTTGTTCTCTCTCGTTTGATTTTTCACTTATTCTCTCCCCTACTTACCCTCTTCAGAAATAAGGGTGTTTAAGAAAAATAAATTACATTTTTTTATATATTTATTGTCTTTAATAAATTTTAATCAATTTTTAATTTAGTTATTTGATGCTTATATTTTAAATAGGAGGAGCTATATTATATATGAAAAAAGGTAATAGTATTTGATTAACGTAAAATTAGACCAGAAGCTATCGCTTTGCACTAGCTACGGAAGCTCATAGCATGAAAACTATATATATTGTCTTTGAAGAAGCTTATTAATTAGTAAATATAATTGTAAACTTTTCTTTTTCTCTAATTTTATAATTAATCCCTTTAGTTCCTTTTATAAGATACTTTTAACTTTTGCTAACTTTTAGGTATGAGATATCCATCTCAGTTATTATGGACGCATTTGCCCAGTTGACATGCAGAAAAGAATCAATGTTGGACTTATTGAATTGCTAGTAATTCATGTGAGGTCAAAAAAAGTAAAAATTAGTTAAAATATTAATTAAAATTTTACTATAACGTTCACAAATTATCCTTAATTAGACTTGCTACTTTATACGTTTCAACCGTAAAATTAAACATGTCACACAAATGAAACAATTAAATGTGTGGATATTTTTTAAAATAATTTGTAAATGCTTCATTAAGACCAAATAAAACTTTTAGATGTGGCAATTAGAATGTTATCTTTCATTAGCATCTAAGTCCTAAGAGAGTATTAACTATTAAGTTAACTGAAAACATTTTAATAAAATACTAATTAAATTTTTCTATGATTTATATTGTTATTTAAAAATTTTGTAGGGGCAATTAAGGTTCCATCACTGTGCGCAAATATTTAATTGTCACAACTTACAAGTCACAACTACTATAATTGGCATTTTTTGGCTAAAAAAATAATTGGCATTTGACGCTATTAATTAACCTTGTTCAAATATTCCCAAGATTTAAATAAAAATTAACTTTCCTATTATAACTTTTGTTCATAAAAATTGAATTTGACTCATTTAAGAGATATTAATTTCCTTTTATGCTATTAACCATATGATATATGGTAAATCAGATAAAGTTAATATCAATTTATGGGAAGGAAGCATAACAGAGTAAAAAGACAAAAATAACCTTGAGATTCAAAAATAAGTAAATAAATAAATAGAGCTTTTATATTTGTGTAAAGTGTAATGAAGAGCATATTAATACAATATTTCACTCAGCCATATATCGGCATCAGACAACATGGAAACCATTTCCAATGCCCTTTTTATTTATGGCAAAACATAAAGCACACCCGGGGATAATTGTCGATAGAGCTTTAAATATAAAACCAAATCTCTCTCATTATGCATACACAGACACAGTTTTCGCGGCTCTTTTCACCAAAGAGATCCAAGTAGGGTCACCTCCCCATTCTTCTAACACGACCAGAAAATTCCCACTTGGGTTCAGCCATGATCGAGGAACATGGTACCTGAAAAACGATGATGATAATATGTTGTTATTATCATTGTAAACCACCATTTCAGCTCAAAAAGTTCACATTTTTAAGTCATAAGCTCCGTTTAACCAAAAGCTTCTGTTGACCATTTGTTCACAGAGGTTCTGATGCAATGTCAAGAATTAATTGAAGTGAAGGACCTTCAATAGCTTTTTTTCTGGGGTTGTACTATCTTTATTTTCTGAAATTTGATTTCGTTTTTGTTTTGATTCCTGAAATTTAATCTCATTTTGGCCCACCTAAAGATTTTTGGTTCATAAGACAATGTTTTTGTCCCTGAAATAAGGTGTTAAGGACCAAAAAGTTGGTATTAATCCTTATTTTTATATAATCTCAGGTTTGTGTTGAAAGCTAGACCATATACTGTTTTGAAATAAGTTGAGAGCAGACTTACCATCTCTGGGAGGGATCTCCGCAATATGTCTGACATTTATATTCAGTGTAGTTTCCAGCATAATTACAGTCATTACAACGACCACTTGCAATATATCCTGGCCAATGGCGTCCAATGCTCTGCCCATTTACCCAGACTTGACCCTTTCCCATGCTAATCATATCAAGTGCCAACGGATCATCGCCTTCCGGTGTGTTAAAGGTTGTCTGGTAACACCAGAGTATAAAGCAACTTAGGATAAATGTAGATGTTGGTGATCACCTGTAACGGAAAATGACATGAAGCATTTTGTAGCAGAAATTTTTACCTTGTACCATGTTAAGGGCTGTTTCTTAGCCAACAAGGATCCCTTTGCCCATTCAACAGAGTCACTCCCACTTGCAGTGTAAAGGCTTAAGGCTTCACCTTTAAGCCCAACCTGCTCAGAAACATGCAACAATTATAAATTCTCTGCAGTTGAAACCACCACTTCCTGGCTGAAAGTAACTTTGACATAATGATGATCATTAAAAGAAATACTCTTTTGTTTACCAAACTTTGGAAAAGCCTGCATCAAAAGCTGGTGAACTATTTATGCTTAAAATTTTTTCTTGTTACTCACATGCAAATTTCATCAACAACACTTTTCATGAATTATATAACAGATTTTTGCTGCTGTTGTTGAGGGGGGGGGGGGGATAAATGACAGACCTTGTAAGACCATTTCTGTTGAGATAAATCTCTGGTACCCTCCTTTAGACCGTGCAGTGTGACTGGGCCTAACACCCCAGCGTTCCATGTCTCAAAGTGGGAGCCTACATTCTGGATTCATTTATTTGAATATAAAATTAGAATCAATCTCAAAAACTAAAAAGGAGAAAAAAATGGATTAGATAGGTGATAGAACTAACCGGGAGACCCACGGTAGCACTAAGCAAAGAAAGCTTGTTATTGCCAGCCGTCAGCTTCACACTGTCACTAAATGTCAATTTGGGATTCTGTAAACTCCCATACACAGTTCCTACATTGATACATAAGATGGATAAGTGAGAAAGTTTATCAGAGCGAAATACCAACTGAAAACTACCATATACCCACTAATTACCTGCAAGTTGGCCGTTAATGAAAACATGGAGAACATGGCCTGCTGACATTACGGTGAGTGTGGGAGATTCCCCACTCTTTATAAAAGCTTCATCAGGATCAATATTGACACTGACCAAGATATCATCAAATGTTGATTAGATGGAGAGAGGACTTAAGTAGTAAGATGATGAATATTCCAATTATTTGGATTTTGGAAGGCAAAGGCTGATCAATTAAAAGATACTTACTCTGTCATGTACCACAAATAATCTGAAGAATCCCAGGTAGCATAAACCTGCTCCAAGAGTGCATATTTTGTAAATGTATCATCTTCACTGGATGATGCAGGTTCTTCAGTGTATGACTGCCAAGTAAATTGACCATCTACCGGTGTCATCTCCATCCCAGTGCTCGAACCAACCTGCACATGGCAAACAGACACAAAATGCTACCCAATAAAATATCTCAATATAGAGAAGGCAAAGGGTTTCTGCCCAAGATATGTATATACGTTTATTTATAATGTGCATGTCCTTCAGGAACAACTCAAATAAGGAACTGCCCTGTCTCTATGGGGCATAAAAAAGCGATCGACTCATTTCTGGATACTTAATTTTGGCTGTGCATTTCATAATGAAAGAAAATTGCGAAAGTAATAAGTTTTGTGCATGGCAATCTGTCTTACCTTTGCAGTGTTGTAAACTGCAGTTTTGCAGTCAGGGAGAATGCTGATAGACCAAGGTGGTAAGTCATATTGGCCATTTCCAAATGTAGCTCTCGCAGCAGACTTGGTATCATAATTTGCAAGAAATGCAGCACAAGCACCAGAATCTGTCTTGAACACATGAGCCTGGAATAATATTCAAGAAGAAATGAGAAATTAACTTTACAAACATGAGGCAGCTTTTGTTTGTTTTGATCAGTAGAAATATTTCACCTCCAGGTTCATTCCAATCTTTGTCACCGTAGGATCTGCAGACACTAAAGCTGGCTCACATAGCTTTATTGCTTTATGCAAACCTCTCAAATGCCCCCATTTTGGTTCATTCAGAAGTCCTGATATAATAGAACAAAGCTTCTCAATAAACACACACACACTCTTTGCCCGCATGATGTTAAAATTAAATTCATGCACTTTGCAGCAGATGATGTCTATTTTGCCCCAGTTACTCCAAATCAGTATAATTGTCATCTTAAGAAGCATGAAGACAATTTGAATATCATATGAATACCATATTCATCAATAGGAGCATCATAGTCGTAGCTTGTAGTGATGAAGAGGCCAGATTTTCGTCCAAAGTTTGTTCCACCATGATACTGAACCAAAAAGAAAAAGAGATATTATACTTAAGTTAGAGTTTCTACAACATAGTTACATGAATTATAATATTATACAGAAGTGGGATGAATGATATTCATAGTGTATATTAAATTAATAGCAGAGGGACAATCAACCCACCATATAGTAATTAACAAATGAGCCACCATTCTGTATGAATCTTGCAACTGAGAATGCCAGATCTTCCGCTGGTCTACGTGGGATTGCGCCACCAAACGCAGTATACCTAAACAAGAGATTCAGATTAAAAATAGGATTATGATAAACAGTTTTTCATCCATAAAGTATCATTTGCATGAGTTACCAGCCGGTCCAGTTCTCTGTCCACATTCTGGGCTTGTACTTCGTGTTCGGTCTGAAGCTATCACAGTAGTACCCATTACAGGTGTCAATCTATCACCCAGTGATCAGAAAGAGAAACATGTCAGAAAGGAGTAGAAGCTTCTGTCCAGAATACATTTAGTTGATAAATTTCGAAACTAAATTATGTTATAAAAGGGATGAAAGTCATGGGACAGAGCTAGCTACAACTTTTAAGAGCTCGCTTTTTGGGTCTATAAAAAAAGTAGAAATGTACATTTTTCAGCACTGCATAATTGGAGCTTCTGATAAGGTTACCTTCTCCTTAAGGACCCATAAGGAATAATAAATAATCTAAAGAAATTTAATTAAAATTCTTTTTAAAGACTAAATTTACTATTTATTCCTTCTAAAGTCACCACTGATACTCTTTAAAAATATCACTCATGGTGCCTAATAAGATCAGGCAAATCAAGTTCTGACATTAGGAAAAACCAATGGTGACTTTGATATTTCCGAAGAATTCTAATTTTTAATGTCATTTAGAAAATTTCTTTCTTAAATATATCTTCTGGAAGAACTTTTCCTTTAAAATAAAGTTTCTTTGAATATCATGTTTAACTATGTTAAAGAGCTTAAATCTAGTCTAGTCTCAAAATAGACCACTATAGAAAACGTTGAATTGCAAATATAGGCTTCCGTGGCTGCAGCTTCACCAACCAAGAACAAGATTAAAGTGAACAAGCTAAAACTACTTCACCATGAGCTAATAAAGTAAATTAAGAAAACCCAAAAAAAAAAAAAAAGGAAAAAAGCCAAAAGGTGGACAGGAAAATACCAAACAGTGAAAGCTACTAACCCACCTCATTAAGCAACTCACTTTTAATATGAAAACCCCACCAGGACGTATTGATCAAATACATTAAATGCATGAAAAAGATTATATATCTGTGGAAAATGACAGCATCAAGACCTAACAGCCAAAATAGCTTTAACTTACCACGGGATCAGGAGCATCTGGTTGCTTACACATAACCCAGGGCACCTCAGTGTCAAGACCTACAGCCATTTTAGCTGCCCATTGCGCGTAATTTTTTCCAGCAGCACCAAGTCTCCCCTCAATAGGTCCAAACTCATTTTCTATCTGTGAAATTCAATTAACAGAGAAAGTGAAGAACTTTTCTCCACTAAGCTTTGAGTTCCATGTGCGTAGTGTAATACTATCCAAATCAATAATGAATTTTTTCAACACTAATATTTAATTTTATTACGAAACCTGGGAGAGAATAACTGGACCCCCCTGAGCTTCGAACAACTTTTCTTCCTTCAACATGCTGACAACCTTCTGAGTAAACTTTTGCATTGCGGCCTTCATGGCGTCAAAATTACACAGATGCATCATTTTTTAACGATTAAAGAATATAATATGAGATTCATCAATATATGAGACAATGATGATCCTGGTTGAAAAAATCTAACCTTGAAAGGCTCACTGTCAGTTCTGAAGGAAATACCCGGGACAAACTTCAGCCAAACAGGAAATCCCCTGGATTTAAAACAGAGCATGTGATCTTTTCAAGTGTTCTTCAAGGATTATTTATAAGTTCTGTGACAATTTTCCTTCGTATGGTAATGTAACTAAAATCACGAAGCAAAGATATGAAATATCGGAATCATTACCCAAAGTTCCATTCTGCACACACGTAGGGACCAATGCGGAGGTGAACGTAAAGGCCAGCTTGTTGAACCAGCTTGATGAACTTCACTAAGTCGAACCTATCTTCGAAATAGTACTGGAAATTCACAATTTCATAGAAAGTTTAGTCAGTTTCCTTTCAGCTTTATGTTTGATTCTTGGAAAGGAAACAAAAAGCCAACAATGAAGAGCGAAATGTTAAGGGAGCATTTGCAGCATCGTTACTTTTCCAGGCGAAGGCTCATGGCCATTCCAAAACACATAGGTCTGTATAACATCTAAGCCTCCATCTTTGGCCTTCTGTATCAGGTCAGGCCACATCTGCATTCACCCAAAAACAATGAGAAAATGCAGGAAAGTGTGAGAAAATTAGAAGCCAAGCAAAATGCTGGGACTAAGAAGCCACCTCAGGTGTGCTTCTTGGGTAGTGAATGGAGCCAGAAATCAAAATCCTTCTCTTTCCATCAATAGTAAGAGCTTTGCGATCGTAAGTCACAGAAGCTGTAACAGCAAAAACCCAGTAACAGAAAAACAGAAGCACAACTAATTTCCCTCGGGGTAAATTCCCCATCAAATCTCTTGGACTCATAGCCTTTTGAGTTTCTCAAAGCAACGGCCTTTCTTGCTCCTGAGCACTCAGAGAGTCAAAAGGGCCACAATTTTGCTTTTAAACAATGCGTTTTCTGAGCTCTCTGATTCTTTGGGATTGAAACAAAAGGAGACCACTGGAGAGCATAAGAGTGGCGGGTGATCAGTGAGAGGCCTGAAGCTGCATTAATATTAGCGGGTTATTTATACACACATTCGAAGAACGCAAAGCAGGCCAAGTCGCTTTCTTTGTGTCTCTTGTATGGGCAGATGAATTGACGCGCGCCTAGTTCACATGGCGCGGCAAATTAAGCGATCTCAATCTTGTGTTTGATTCATTAAATCTGATTTTGTGTGGCCAATATCATGCATGCACATGTAAACATAATTTTCGCCCACAGGTTATTTCGTTCGAAATATTAACTCAAATTGTTAATATTTATACTATACTCCCTCCATTCCTATAGAATTTACTTAAGGTTTAATTTGATTATAAATATAAATTCTCAATCCTTTATGTTTTAATATTTATCTATTTTATCCCAAGTAATCCCACGGTAATTACATATCTTGAGAAGTTTTATCAAGGATCATTTTCAATACACATGATTAATAAGATATTTTGAAAAAAACAACATCTATTTATTACAAATAACTAACTTAACTAATTTTTTTATATTCGTAAATTAGTTATCTAGATTTATATTAAAAACTAGAGAAATATAATATTTTTTATTTTCTCTCCATAAATAGATTGCAACCAGCAACAAACTAAAAAATGAAGAAGCATATGCATGAAATAAAGAATAATCTCGCACTGTGGTTCAAAAAATTAAACACCAATCAAGCCAGTTGTGATCCCCTTCTAGATTATGCTAATTATTTGAGATATAAAAGCTTAAGAAGTACAAGAAATAAGGCTCGTTGGTCCTTATCAGAAAAGGGAAATAAAGAAGGCTTCCATGGTGAATTAAGCAGGAGGTGTGTGGCAGTAGGTGGAAGATTAAAATCATAAAATCGACGTAATTGAAGCATTAGAATTTTGCTGAGATTGAAATTTGGAGGAGCCTCTGTACGTTTGCTTTATTCTGTTATTCAGGTCATTGTTTACGTCGTGGATTAGTTCACCCGCCCCACTTCATTTATTGACATGTTTCAGGGGATCTTCATTCATGGTAGCTTCTTCTTATAGTCTAAGTTTCTATCGTCTTTCATTTCTTCTTCTTTCTTCTCCTTTACTTCTCTTTTGAGTTGCTCCATTGTTTTTCTCCTCCAGTTGCCTGTTTTCCCCATTTTCTATATCTTGTGACCTTCAACCAGTTTGTCCACTCCTTCAATTTTTTCATCATTTTTAATGCATGTTTCTAGGAAACACCACCTACTCTTCTCGGTTGAGCTAGCCGGTCTGGTTTGGTTTTAAAACCAAGTTCTTAGTTCAACTGATAACAAGAAGTTGTGAGTTTGAACCTCTGTGAGTATAATGTGTGTATGAGTTCTTTCTATTGAATGAATGATAACCAACAAGAGAAAAATAATAAAGGGTTGTACCACTTTAATTAGAGGTCTCGAGTTTGAATTTTAAAAATATATGCAATGGTTTTAACTTAATGGTAGAGTTTGATGCCCAAATGAATCCTATTTGATTCATCTTAGGTTAGTTTGAGCCCCAATAAACCTCTCTAGTTGAATGAGATTACTCTGGATATTAAGATCCTGTTTGATACAAAAGCATTAAAAATAAGGGATATGAATTATGATTGCAATTGAGAAAATCTATTAAAAAATATTTAGTATCAGAGATTACTTGTTACATGATTAAGCAAACCTCAGGTATTTCCCAATCCCACATATATAGATTTTTCTAATCTCATATAACATGCAATTATTATACTAAATATTAATTTAATGATTTTTTAATTACAATATTTTTAATATTTTGAACCCAATGGGACCTAAGTACACGCCCAAAATACACACAGAGCAAGGAAACCCCACTCCTAGTTTTCAAAAAGAATGCTAATTGGCTAGATCATGAGAACTACACATAAATGCTTGAGATATTTAGATTTCTAATATGTCATGGCTTGTTTTTTTACAGTGGCCTTTTAGTAAGAAGAGGAAAAAAACATGGAATGATGTAAGCATTAACGTATCAAAACTATATTTTCCATTCCATCTATCACAGATGACTCCTCTAAACCTACCATGACAATGACATAGTTTACTAGGAATTAGACACCACAAAAGTGGTTATATTCACTAATTATATATATTTATATTATATATGGAAGCTCTCAATTTAATGTGGTGGGATTGCAATATAACCTATTAACGTCCACATACAAGTATTGTATACGAAACAATGTGTTGGTTAAATGTAAAGCTAGATCTTGACTATTCATCATTCTTTTAGAAATGCTGTCACTTGCAATATAGCTAGCTTTTTAAAGAGTAAAGGAACCTCATATATAGCATTAAAAAACAATTATATTGTTCTTAAAGAAGCCCCTAGGAAAATGTATATTAGCTTTTTCCTTTTTCATAACTTCCTTTAATCTTATCTACAAGACACTTTTAATCTAATCATATATATTAAGAAGAACAGTTTACCTTAATTAATAGTCTTCATTCCTTAAAAAATTAATTTAAGTGTGAAGATTTTTTAAAATAAATCATGGATACTTTACAAAACTAAGCAAATATTAAGAATTGGACAGAATAATTAGTCCTTAACCTCCCCTCTCTGTGTTGTATTTTCTCATACTTTCTCATGTATATATCAGCTCTGGTTTTATTTGCGTGTAAAATCACCTGATTTAATCTGCATTTAATTAAGATATTCATTCAATTACGTCACTCACCCAAAATACACTTTGTTCACATGGAAAAAATTTTAAACATTATACCAGGGACTTTTTTTAAAAAAAATAATTTTAAAACATGATTAAGAAAATAACTGCTTTCTTTTTTACTCATCCAATAGTTAATATAAAATACAATTAACTAAATTGAGTAGATTAAAGATGTTAGTTAAATTAGTTAATATGATATTTTTTTTCTAAAACACTCTAAATATTTTTCTTCATTTTCTTCTTCTCTCTACTACTTAATTATTGTTCAGGGAATATTAATGGAGTTGATTTGAAAAAAAAAAATTGATAAACATATGAAATATGTCTTTAATATGGGACCAACATTAATTTTCTAATTAGGTCTTATTTTAAGCATTGTAAGAGTACAAATTTTCTTAAGAACGGTGATACTGCTTTTTGTTTTCCCATTATGATTATGCGCTTGTCTTCTTCCTCATTATGGGTTTGCTGTGCATGTGACTTAGTGAGAAGAAGCTAAGTTGGGCTTAGGCGTCCTCTGAAATTCACAAAAGTAGGCCCAGCCCATTACAATGTTTCAAATCCCCTTTTTCTCGTTTTGCCAAGCGGGCGCTTGCGTGTATTTATATATATATATATATATATATATATATGCTTATTAAAAGTAATTTTATCCTGAGATATTATGAAGCACTAAATATAGATATCTCTTTAATATAAATTTAAATATTAGTTCACCATATTATGAGGGACTAGTTATTTCTGTTAGACTCAAACCTATTAGTAATGTTTCAAATATTTGATTAATTTCTCAGTTGAATAAATTCTGGCTTCTGAGGCTCCAATGACTTCGAAGAAGAAATTACTTTACAGCACTGAAGATCTTTTTATAAAAAAAAATTGAGGTTTTTTTATTGCACTCTTACACTGAGCATTTAAGAGGCTCTGTTATAAATACACACATATATAGATATATAGATAATTCAATATTTTAAATTTAGTTCAACACCGCTCTTAATTAGAGCTGGTAATACGGGGGGGCCCTGCCAGCTAGCCCGTACCGTTTTCAGCCCGCTCATCTCGGGCTAGCCCGCTTTTTTTTTTTTAATTTTTATTTTTATATAATTTCTAATATATTATACAACATAATTGGAGGATTTTAACCCCCAAATTTCATATTACATTTTCTCATTCATGTAATTGTATATGTAATACATACATAAAAATCTACTTAATTAATTTGGATAAGAAAAATAGTCAAATTAATTATTTAGAAAAAAATATGTGTTAGTTTTTCTAAAATATCTTCTCAAATTATAAATTAATCCTCACATTATTTTATTATAACTCATTACTCAAGTTTAAAACTCCAAGTCCAATTTTAACATTACAAACTAAGCTCAAACCTATTCAAATAATAATATTTTTTTTAAAAAAAAAGTTAGGCGAGCCCGCTAGCCCGCCTTGTTTTGCCAACCCGCCAAAGTGCGGGCTACTTCAGCCCGCACCGCTGCGGGCCCGCCGCTGCTGCACCTGCCAGCCCACATTCCCAACTCTACTCTTAATCCCACTTTTGCATCATTATCATTCCCAACACATCAAAATTAAAATGCACATACCAAACATGGCGTTAAGTATACTGTGAAGGAGTAGCGGACGCGCGTAGATGTTATGAGCATGGAATTTATAATTCGTCTAGAAAATAATACCCCATTTAATATAAAATCTATTTAACTAATTTAATCAGATTAAAAAAATAACTAAATTAATTAATTATAAAAATATGATATTTTTAAAAATATCATAACCATTTTTGTTAATATATTTCCTCCCTTTGGATTATAGTTGAGGGAAGTATCAATAGGAATAATTTAAAAAAAATTTGATAAATACTAGAAGTGGATTTTATATTTAGAATTAAAATAAACTCAATAATTATGCCCTATGTTAAGAAATGAAGGAGTATAAAAGAAAAACCTATCCAGCTTGTTCATTCAAAAAAAAAATAGAGAGGAAGAATTGCAATAAAGCCTCAAGAAAGGAACATATTTATATATAAAAGAGTAAAATACACTGATTACCCTTCTATTTTATCTCAATTACCGAAACCTCCCGTTTATTTTTAAAACATATATAAACCTCCCTTACAGTTAAAACATATGTTATGCAAACCTCCCTCCTATATTTAAAATTTTATTTTCGTCTACCAAACTGTTAGTTGACCGTTATGTTTGACTTTAAATTATTTTTTTGACCAAAATGCCCCTTTTTAAATTAATAATATTTAGACTTTTATATTTTCCAAAAAATGTTTTTATGAAATCAAAAAATAATT